ATAGTATAAATAGTCTTTAAATAAAATATAATTAGTAAAGAAATTGAGAACAAGTGTAGAAGTGCTAAAACATCAGAGGCTATTATATATTTTATAGACCTACTTTAGTACTTACTGGCTATAAATGCCAGACAATTTTACTTGTCAGTGGGTAGATGTCTGCCAATAAATGAGTTAAATATCTGTAGTCTTTTAGCCAGATATTCAATATAGTAGACATAGTTAGCAGTCGCTTTATAGCAGCCAAAGAGTTAAGTATATACATGCAGTAACTTGGCTGCCTGGGTACTGGGCAGAAAAAAAGCAAGAACATCATGCATGTAACATTGAGAATATATAGGGTGAAGCTCGCCACAGTTAGTTTCAGGCCTTTACAGGTTAGAAAAAACATTTATATATTTGAATAATGCCCTGAATCTGGCTGGATATTTTTCAACTATCCAACATATATCATGTTTGCAGCTGGATAGCAAAAACATTCTATCCTGCACACCCCTACAAAGAACTTCAAGTATGTAAGATAAGGGGAAATTGCTCCTTTATAGGTGTTAATAGGCGAGATATGGGCGAGCATGCCACAGTCTGTAAGTAAAATTATAATTAGTTAAATAATAATATCAAAGTACTTAAGTAGGAAGTGTTAGGAAAATTGCATCTAATTGATCTAATTATGTCAACATGAAACATGGGCAGAGTCTAACACTCTAGCTAGACACTTTCCTTGAGGAATAAAATTGCCCGGCATTAGGCAATATAACATTTAATAAGAAAATGCTTAAAGTGCCCCTGACACAAAAATTGATTTTTTGTGTATTGAAAGTACACATTATGTGGAGTGTTTTGGTGAAAGAATGTTTTGATTTCATTAAAAAGGAAAAATTTTAGAGCGGTTTAAACACAAAACTTTTTGGCCCATGGACGTCGGCTACAGGAGTCTGGGGATAGCATTTTTTGTGACGTCACGCTCACGCAAGTGAGTCAAATCTTGACGGTCTGTTAGACTGTTATCAGTTTTGATCAGCTCGAAGGTTTTGATCGCTGATCATGAACGGCTGAAGTGTTTTTATATTCTAAGTTCTATCATGGTTCTAAAACGTATCATGTCGACAACAGAATACGACAGTAGCGATCAGTCCGATGATTCCAGTGCGAATTTTATACCTGGTTAATATGTTGTGTTGGATAAGATGCTGATCTGTAGCATCTCGCCAGGTCCCTAGTATTATCATTAAAACCACCAAATCTATACGACGCGGACGTGACGAAAAACTGCCGCTATTATCACAATTTCACTTCACGGGTAAAACTATGGATTGTTGTTGGTAAACAAAGCTAGGGACACGAGAAAAATAAAATAAAACTAGTCTCCCATTATTAGCGACTGTTTTTTAGTCGCGTCTGCGTCTCAGATTTGGCGCATGTTAAGCTCCTTGCCTGGCTCTCTGCTAACGTAGACGTTCTATGGCTTTGCAAGGTTTATATCTCCCGTTCGGTGCATCAGTTATGAAGACAAAAATACTACGACTCGATTCAGTGAAACAAAATCTCCCAATTCCCAGCGATAGTTTTATACTTTTACACTATGACGACCCGCACGTTTTGAAAAACAGCGGGATCTGCAAACTGAGTTTGCAACTTCAGGAAGCGAGCAACGCTAATCGCATTATTAATTACCGCTATAAGATGTCATCAATCCAGGTTCAGTTGCTTAGACGCAGTGTGAAACCAAGCAAGTAATAAGTTAATTTTCGGTTATGCATTAAAATAAAAGTGTACAAATATGTCACAATGCTGACTGTTGACAAGTCACCTAGGGCCAGGCTATACTATATAGCGTACAATGTGTAATAAGGCTGCCGTCTGGCTGCGTATAATATGTAATAATATTAAAACTTGTGTGTTGTAAAACAAAACGTTCTTGGTATCTTAGAGAATAGCACGATAATTCCATGTCAAGACCGCGGAACATATTTGCCGTTTTAGATCTTGGCAGTATAAAAAGTCCGGCTTCAAAGGCGTAAGGTTTCTATGGCTAATAATAAAGAAACTGACTTATAAAGTTATATAATTATACCGCCTTTCCCTATAGGCCCTAGTGCGCACATGAATCTGGTACAAACGTTTTCACCAACGTATATATCAAATGTATATATTATTCCAAAAACAATAGCTGCATTGACACCATTGTCTTATAGCTAATCTACGGAATCTACGCCCGCGCCTGCGTTGTGAGGCAAAGAATAATATAAGACTCCTTTTAAGCTTCCACTGGTTAAGAAAAGATGGGACATCTTCATAACCTATAACAGCAAAAAATGGGACATCTTTCTGACACAAGAGTTTCCACTAAAAGTATTCTAGATATTATTCCCAAACCTAGCGCTATCGCTGCATGCAGCCATGCACCGTTTTACTCTAACTTAGGCCTGTTTTATACGTCGAATTTCGGTCGCGTCGAATGCAATTCAAACAATAGATAATGAAGCTTAATGAGGTTTATCATCTCATTATCTATTGTCTTAATTGCATTCGTCGCGACCAAAATTCGACGTATAAAACGGGCCTTAGCGTGATGTAAAGAATAATATAAGACTCCTTTTAAGCTTCCACTGGTTAAGAAAAGATGGGACATCTTCATAACCTGTCAGCAAAAGATGGGACATCTTTCTGACACAAGAGTTTTCACTAAAAGTATTCTAGATATTATTGCAAAACCTATAGCGCAAGCTGCATCGCCTTACTCTAACTTAGCCTGATGTAAAGAATAATATAAGACTCCTTTTAAGCTTCCACTGGTTAAGAAAAGATGGGACATCTTCATGCATAACCTGTCGGCAAAAGATGGGACATCTTTCTGACACAAGAGTTTTCACTAAAAGTATTCTAGATATTATTCCAAAACCTATAGCGCAAGCTGCATCGCCTTACTCTAACTTAGCCTGATGTAAAGAATAATATAAGACGCTTCTTAAGCTTCCACTGGTTAAGCATTACCAGAAATATGGGACAAGATGGCGACGGACATGCGCACTTTGACCAAATATGGCGACCAAATATTACTATAAACTATATGGGAGTTGATCAAAATATCAAATTTTAATATACTTTGTTTAAATATTTCATGGTTGCGGAGCTCGATTATAGTAGCGACACCAACAAGCAATATTTCTAAACAAAAATCGCTAGTATTGCACCGCGTGTAGCAGGTTCCTGAGAATGTTGTATTTTTACACGCAATTTGATGAATTTCATAGTGTAATTTATAGTAAACGTCTGACACAAGAGGTAAATATCCGACGAATAGACCAACATCCATTCGGGCGATGAAAAGTGCGGAGCTCGCAACATATTTAATGATGTTCAAACTGTTAATTTAGCTAAATAAATCCGCTGTAATTCCCAGGGAAACTGGTTCCCGAAACGTTTAAAAGTTCGCCTTTTTACGGTTCTTGTATGTCGCCATTAGGCCATCTTAATATCAGAAAACGACAAGTTTTAATACAAATTTGAGCTGTTTCGAGCAGCCATGTTTGTTGTTTATTTTAAAAGACTAGATCCCAGGCTCTCACGTAAAAACACAGGGATATTTTA